GGGGGGGGGGTGAAGAGCCTCTACTCCCACTGACCTAAAAAGTGACTGCTTAAAAGAGGCCTGTGCTTGGTGCCTTGGTTGCTACACAACTAGTAGCTGCAGGAATGAGCATTTCACCCAGTGGTGCCCTCCTTCCGGCTTGGCTAGATACCTTATCTTCCTTTACAAAACTTTCACGAATAATTCTATAATGGTCCCCATTCCTTTTATCTTTGTCTCCCTAAAAGTTCAGGTCTTTCTGGTAATTCATTATTATCTAGATCCTCATCCCTCTACTACCGCGTACATCTCCTAATCTGACCCAATTTAACACCCCATGTGCCTTCCTAGAATTTACCCTTAGAGCCATTCTTGATTTCTCTTTCTCTTACCCCAACATTCAAGCCAGCAGCAAGTTCTGTTAGCTCTCTACCTCCATGTTTCCAAGTTCATCTGCTACTCTCCGCCTCCAATACCACACCCACATCCAAGCCATTATTTCTCTTGCCTGGATATTTGCAGTGGCTCCTAACTGGTCTCCCTGCTTCCATTCTCAGCAACTAGAACGATCCTATTAAAATATAAATCACGTCACTACTCTGTTTAAAATTCTCCAAAGGATTCCATCACTGGAGGAAAGAGCATGTCAAGAGAGAATCCATACACTGCAACTCCCCTCCCCTGTCCCACCCCCCCAACTCTGCCACTCCCTGGGTCACCAAGGCTTCCAAGGACATTTCCATTTAAACTAAGAGATCCAAGCCACTCCTCATGACTTTGGCCTGTGAGTCGATTCTTTGAGCACATCTTTCAGTCTCCTCCCCCAGCTTTCTATACTCTTCTTTGAACAGGCCTCCCTGCTCCTGCCTGGGGCCTTTGTACTTGTCCTTCCCCTGCCTGGATACCCTTCCCTGGTCTGCACATTACTGGCCCCTTCTCGTGGTTCAGACCTTCACTGCTTACCCCATCTGAGGCCGAGCCCTAAACCTCAGAACCTCCATGACAGAGGTCTGGAATTCTCTATGTTTAATGAGCTCCGCGAGTATTAGTTAACATCCGGACAGGTCTGGTGCACACTGTTTCCCATCCACATCTCTTACCTTACTTTTCTCTAGGGAGCTCAGCCCGGAGCCAGAAACGGGAGGCTCGCCTGGACAAGGTCCTCTCAGACATGAAGCGGCACAAAAAGCTGGAGGAACAGATCCTTCGCACTGGCAGGGACCTCTTCAGCCTGGACTCCGAGGACCCCAGCCCCACCAGCCCCCCACTCCGGTCCTCAGGGAGTACTCTCTTCCCCCGGCAGCGGAAATACTGACTGCTGCTCCTTCTGCCACCTTTAGGATGCAGGGTGTACACATCCTGGGACCTGGGCCCTCCTTCCCTAACCCAGGGCACTGGGGAAGAGGACAGAGACTCCCAAGCTCCCAACACCGCACCTTGCCAGAAGGAGGACATGTGTGTATTTACGTTTTCTGGTGAACATCTCTTTGGAGAACCTGGGTTGACTTTTCTGAATCTAAAATAAAAAACACAAAGTTATCTTCTCTTAGGGGCTGGGCTGCAGCAGGAGCCCAAACAGTTGTGGGGTGGCAGAAACATATTCAGCCAGATTGGGAAATGAAAGTCACGTGGGGCAGAGGTGAACTCAGCACCTGCCCCTCTGACCCTTCCGGGTCTCATTCCAGCACTGCCAGCTGGCTCTGAGGTGGGACCTCAGCGAGAGAGCCAAGAGGCTGCAGTGCCTTCAGCTGCAGTAGAAGCCGCCCAGAGGAGGAAGAGAGAACCAGCTGCGAGGGCCCTTTAAATGGCCAGGCCCCACCCCTGAGTGCCTGCCCTGCCGGGAAGTGATCCCTAGGGCTGGGCCTGGGAGTTTCCCCCTCTGAGGGGTCTGGGGCAGGCAGCACTCCTTCTGGGTATACTTCGTACAGGTCCCAAAGCCCCCAAACAGTTGGTGGGACCTTGTGTCCCTTAAGGCTCGCCTAGCCCCGTCCTGCCTTCTAAGGCCTTGCTTCTGCCGGGGCAGGTAGGACGTCTCTGAACCGGAGGAGGAAGAAGGTGGGTAGAGGCTTGGCCGTGGGAGGTTTTGCTTTCCTTGCTGGATTTTTTTTTTGTCTTTTGAAGTAAACGTAGATCGACTTGTTATCTTGCCAACACTCCTCCACCCCCCAAATCGAAGTCCTCTTGACTTCAGGCTCCCATATCAGAAGTTAGGGCAGAGGCAAGTTGGGTCCATTCGCACTCTCTCCTGGGTGCCTGGGTCCCTGCTGTAGGCCTCTGCCTCTTCCTCCTAAGGACTTCGGCTCTGGCCTGTCCTCTCTGAGCTTTTAGAATGTGATTCCCGCCCCCCACACACTGAGATCCTTCATCTATGCCAAATGTTGAGGATTTCCCACAGCCTCACTTAAGGCTATGCTGACCGTGATCCTAGCAGGCCATTTGGGAGGTGGTTAGCAAAGCGATCTCAAGGTAGGCTTGACTTCTAGAAGGCTTGGGGGTTGCTGAGCAAGGCTCTCTCATTTTCTCTTTTGGGGGGGGGGGTGGAAGGGTGGGGGCTGAAATCAAGAAACAGGAAACTCATTTGGACCCGCCAGCCTGTGATTATGGGGATCTTAGAGCTGGCTCTCAGGAGTGAAGTATGGGGGTGGGGGATGGTAACTGAGGCAGATGTCCCCTGTGTTGTCTGTTTCCCGCCTGGGTGGTCCCCTGGGTTGTGAGGGGGGAAAGCTGGCTGTTAACATGGGGTGCAGTCAGGGGGCTCCCTAGAAACTTCTGCCTGTTTCTGCCCTTGGCAAACAGGGCACCCAGCCTGACCCCGGGTGAAGCTTTCTGGGTGAGGCAGCTCTGGAGCAGCCACCCTGAGTGGATGGCCCAGGGACAGCCTGAGGGCTCCAAGGTGACTCTGGCCTCCTTGTTGGATGGAGGAGATCCCTCCCCCCCCCAACCCCCCTCCCCTTGCAGGAATTGCTCGGCTGTGAAGTGCCATTGACCCTGTCTCCCAGAGAATAATCTGCCCCACCCGAGTCCTAAGTTCTTGTTCTGTGCTTCCTGGTTTGGGAGCTCTGCAGCAGCGATCCCAGGCTGAGTTCTGGCTCTGTCCTTTGATCATTGCGTGATCCTGAGTGATGTTGCTAACTAATCTAGGTTCTTGTGAGGATTAAATGAATGAATTAAAGGTCCTTAACACAATGCCTGGCACAGTTTAAGTTCCTAATAAGCGGGAGCTGTTATTTGGGGGACTCTTGCCAAAGACACACATTCTAGAGTCTCCTGGAAACTTTGGTGCGGTGGGGCTGGATGAGGCCTGGGAATCAGCATGAACAGGAGCAACACTCTCAGCTGGTTCCTGTGATGGAGCAAGTTTAGAAAACATTGATCGAGATCAGGGGTTCTGAAGCCTGGTTCCTGGGTCACTTCTCAACTGGACAACCTTCATCTTCACTGAGTGGCATTAATTGGCAGCATCCAGGAAGTAGGGTGAAGATAGGGCGAGGAGCATCCTGAGCTGGCAGAACTGTTCTGTCCCCAGTGAGGCCACCAAGCTGCTCCTCCTCCCACAAGGTAGTTGAGCTGGAGCTCAGAGAACACTTTCCTAGGAAGAAAAGTTCCCAAAAAGCTGCTCTTAAACCTGACTGGTGGGAGACAAATTCTTGAATTTCCACTCTAGTCCCCCTATAGTAGGAAATAATCTCCCTAAACTGGGAAGCTGGTAAATAAACAGCCTCTGAGCAGTCCCTGAGTAATGTGACTCTTGCATTCTCCAAAGACTAGAATGTTTACACAGGGAAACGGCAACGATGAGCCCCTGTGTATGTTGAGCGTCCTGTACATTTCCCTAAACCTGAGCTTGATAGGGAGGATGGTGGCAGGCTGAGTCACCGACTTCCCCTCCAGCTTCAGGTCTGCTAGGGGGCTCCTTGGACCTGCCATGGACCAGGCTGAACGAAATGCCCTGCCCTTGAGCAGTCTGTAATCTGAGCTCATTTTATTCTCCCTCCTCCCAGCCACCCTCTGAGCTCCTGTGCCCTAGAGCCATCCTGTAGTCACTAATCTCTTTAGGCCCAGGAAATAGTCCTTCCTTTCCATTTCTCGGTCTAGGAGACTAAGGCTCAGAGCTAGCAAGTGGCCCCAGATTGACAGAGCTCAATCTTTGCTGTGTATCAGGGTCAGTGGGAGAGATTTTAAATCTAGCCATGCCTGCACCCCACCTCAGGCCACTGAGGTCAGAATCCCCAGAGATCAGTGCTTTTCGAAGACCTCCAGGTGACTCTCAAGTACAGCCAGGACTGAGAGTGGCTGCTTGAGGCCAGAGTTGCTGGTACTTTAATATGTGCCCAAATCACAAGGGATCTGGTTAAAATGCCGGCTGATTCAGCAGCTCTTGAGTGGGGCCTGAGAAGCCCCCTTACTAACAAGCTTCAGGTGATGCCGACGTTGCTCACTACAGACCAGTACACCATAAAGCTGGTCACTCAGATATCTGTTTGAATCACTGTGCCAGGCGCTCACAGTTGACCCTGAAGATCTCTGACAGGTAGTGACCAGAGAGGCTCATTGAGTTTTGCTGTAGTGTAAGTTTCCTTTTTGTAAGTTTCCTTTGGAGCCAAGACACTGGTCTATAGCTGCGTCTTAACTAGCAGATGAAGCAGCTTCTGCCTACAGGTTTTGTTCTCTGCCCTTCCACCCACTACCCGCCCCCCTTCTTCGTGGGTGTGGTGCAGTGTCTGAGACTTTGGGCAACAGCTGACGGATTCCTGCAGGAAGCTCATGACATCTGGGGGAAGTGTGATCAGACCAAGCTGGGCATGTATGCAGAGAGCAGACTAGGGGGCAGATCCTGGAAGCAGGCCCCGAAGGGGAGGGGATGAGTGGATTTGGAGTGCCGGGGCCAGCCCCAAGGTCTAGGCAGGACCTTCCAAAGGCCAACCTTAACCATTGTTTTTTGAGGGGCTTTATTGGAAAGACAATGTTCTGACTATCCATGTCATCTGGTACACCCCAAAAGTGTAAATCTGGGACTTGTCACAAATGAGCTGCCTGAGTCAAGTGGTTTCCCTGGCTCCCTGGAGAGGTCATACGTGGAGGCTTCTTTTTACAGATAGCAAGAGGATAAGAGCAAAGTCTGTTCTGGGGTGAACAGCAGGTGGTCTAGGTGGAAGGCACAGCTTTAGGGTATGGTAGTGGGCAGTCAGGGGGGATAAGACAGGGTCCCAGTGCTGAAACAAGGGCTTGGCTTTGGAACAAGGCAGAAGCCCAGCCAGATCAGCTATAAGGATGATTCTCAGCTGAGTCACTGAGCTGGGTGAGGCTCTCAGCCCCCCTGACTGGGCCCAGCTGGGATGACAGATGGTGGAGAGGCCTCAGCCATAGGGAGTGGGGGATTGTCCAAAAAGGAGTCATTGGGGGCTGTTCCTGGGGCCTGCTTCCCAGCCCTTGCATCGCCTTCTAGAGTTCAGATCTTCCCTAGGGGGTGCCTCACGGAGCCCTGTCCACACCTCCACTTATAGCCCTAGCCCTTCCTCTCCCCCATCTGGCTTCCTGGCCAGGCTTCTACCCTGCAGAGAACCTGGCAAAGGCTTCACTTAGCCTTCAGATGCCCCTTCTTTGCTGCTATTCTAGCCCCACAGCTGGGGCGACACAAGACTTGCCACCTTTCTGACCACTCAGCAAGGGGGGTTAAGGCCGGGTGGGTTAGGGGGTCTCTGGTGCTAGGCCCCATCCCCTAACTGATTAAGGGAGCTGGGCCTCAGGCTATTCCTGCCTCAGCAATAAGTAACATAGTGCTTCTGAAGAGTCGGGCTCCGTTCCAAGTACTTTATGATTGCCTCAGTCCTCATAACTCGGGTAGATGCCCTATCCGTTCACAGTTTACAGGCCGGGAAACGGGTATAGGGAGGGCAACAGTCTCGTCTGAGGTTACCCCATCCAGTGAGGGATGCAGGTACTTCCGGCTCCTGGGGGCTCTTCGGGGGCTTCCTCAGGAAGCCACTTTGGAAGCACAGCAGAGAGAGACTGGGCAGTAGGGAGGAAGGAAAGGGAATGTCAAGATAAGAGTGGGGAGGAGAACAGATCAAGGAAAGCAGAAAGGCAGCCCCTGTATTTTCAAACACTGCCTGAAAACAACAGAAGAGGGAGCCCTGACGTTACAAAAGCCCCTCCTACAAGTCCCGGGGAATTAACTTCACATAAACCAGAGCAACAAAAAAGTATCCAGGTCAAATCCCATACAAAGTTGCAAGATAGAGAGCAGAACATTCTTTTGATGTAGAAAGTGTACCAGGAAGACAGGTGAAAACTGTAACCTTTCAAAATGAGGTAAGATGTTAAGGAAACCGTTCAAGGCAGGGAATCAGAACCGTAAGACCGGGCAGTCTGGCTGAATCTGTGCCCCTAACCAGTGTCCCATGGCTGCCACCAGAGAAGGACAGGACCAAGCATTCCATGGGGATTCTCATCCCACTGATTTGTTGCGTGGCCTCTAATGATCCACAGTCCCTACCTGGGACTCAGCTACTTGGAGGTACACTGTTATTTGGCCACCTCGATGGAAATTTAATGTTTAGTTCCTCAGTTCCCCTGGTCACATTGCAAGTATTCAGTAGCCGCCTGTGACAAGGCCAAAGAGCCCAGATTTAGAATATGTCCATCATTACAGAAGGTTCTACTAGATGATGCTGAGTTAGAGACTTAAGCAGGAGCCAGGCAGGTGACGTTGAGTGCAGAAGCCTAGGTAGAAGACAACAGGGACAGCACGTGGGGATTGTGGTAAGCGCACGATTGGCGGGGAGGGGGCAGGCGGGCGTGGGGGGTGGGGCGTGTCACATCTATAGGCAGCAGATGTGACTTGACTCTAGCCAGTTTTGCCAGGTGGAAATGTAGGGTGTAGCTCCTAATTCTTCAAGAGAAGCAGGAATCGGGAGGTTGTGGAAACTCACAATTGCTAAGCAAAAAAATAAATAAAAATTTTACAGAGTGTGTAGGTTAAGTAGAATTCTTGTGCCTTTCCCTGGCTTCTGCAATTTTGGGGCTTCAGCCTGTTTCTCCTGTGCTAACCCACTCCATCCTCGCTTCTGCTTCTCAGGTTAGAAGTTAGTTGAATGGTAGGGCAGATGAAGTGTCCCTCCTTTTCTGCTGGTGGCTTCAAAATGGCCTGACCAAAGTCTCAGAGGGCAGGGCTTTGAGTTGTCTAATAAACTTGGTTCCCTCTGTGTGACCCCAAGGGATGTATCGTCCAAAGTCCAAGGCCTGCTGGAGGCAGGGATGGGGGTTCAGGCAGGAGACATGACCTTCCTGAACCACCCAGGATTCAGAAGCAGGTAGGATGGGGGTGGGTGAGAGACGCACTTGTTCATTCCCTTTCCCTTCCCACCCACCCCTACCTGCAAACACAGGAAACTAAGAGTGACCACAGACCAGAGAGAACTGGAGAGAAAAGGACTAATTTGGTTGGGGTTTGCAACCCAGCTGACTATGGGAGCACCAGTTCCGCCAGGGATCCCTCCCTTGAGAGGTGGCCCGTGTCTGAACAGTTCATCCCAGATTGCTTAAAATGTGTGTGGGGGGCATGGGTGCAAAGATAGTGTAAATATTCTTAGGCTGTGGGCTACCATTGCAATACAGCTGGGTCCCGGGATCCCCTGAAATAAACAAGCCTGTGTCTGGAGGAGCCGGGGAGCCACCCAGCCACTGCTCCTGCTCTGCTGGTGAAGGCCACCTCCGGCACCTCCAGAGTCTTCATCTAAAGCCCCTTCCAGTGCTGCAGGCAGCTTGGGGAGGGAAAGGAATAGGCAGAGAACAACCTGGGCTTCCGCGGTTAATTGTGTCAAGCAGGTCTCGGCAGGGATGGGGTCTGGATGGGCTGTGTGCCCTGGGTGGGGAGAACAGAGGAAGCGGCCGGCGTGGGGCTCAAAAGGGTGAAATAATCCGAGCTGGAGGAGGACAGGCCCACTCCCCCATCTCCAGCCAGTCCTCTGGCTCGTGCTGGCCCCGTGCCGGCTCCCTGTGCTCATCTTGTTGGATCTTCTCCCCACCTGTCTATCCCCCTGCTGCCCTGGGCTCAGGAGTCACCATGGCAACCGAAGAGTCCATCATCCGCATCCCCCCATACCACTACATCCACGTGCTGGACCAGAACAGCAACGTGTCCCGTGTGGAGGTTGGGCCAAAGACTTACATCCGGCAGGACAATGAGAGGTTGGTGTTGGGACTGTGCCGTGGGGTGCCTGTTAGTCTGGCTGGCGTGACCGTCCATCTCCTTCCTGTTCCCAGGCAGGATTGACCCTGGGTTGGGTGACGCTTTCTCTCCCATTCACTGTCCCCTTCAGAAATGAGAACATGGTCCCCCAGGTCCTCACACTGCTTCTCACCCTCCTACAGGGTCCTGTTTGCCCCCATGCGCATGGTGACTGTCCCCCCACGCCACTACTGTACAGTGGCCAACCCGGTGTCCCGGGATCCCCAGGGCTTGGTGCTGTTCGACGTCACAGGGCAAGTACGGCTCCGCCACGCTGACCTAGAGATCCGGCTGGCCCAGGACCCCTTCCCCCTGTACCCAGGGGAGGTGCTGGAAAAGGTACCTGGCTTGCTTCCTCTATAATCATTCTGCCTGTTCTGCCGCCTTGTCCTAGGGCTCTGCGCTGCCTTCTGAAGGGAAAACAAACTGGGGCTGTGGGAGGGGGTGGGGGCAACATTTGCAGGTTCTCCCCAAGGACAGAATTACTGCTTCCTTCCTTCCCATGCCCACAGCAGACCCTCCCCTCCTTTGAGAGCTGTCAGCCCATCTCCCCTCCTGACCTTCCAGGCTCTGGAGCCTGCTAGAAGCTCCCGACCACTCTGGTGCTAAACAATTATGCCGAGTGTGAGCATTTCATCCACTCAAACGGTGCCAGACTGTTGGGCAGTCTGGTGGGCAGTGACCGCAATTGTGGACGAGATGAGTTTGGGCTCGGGGACTGGTGACTGTTCCTCAGGAAGGCATCACAGGCCTGCGCTTGTGGCCTGGCCCTCGTTTACGTGGCCCTCAGGCCCTGGCCTGAAAATCCCCCATACCCAGGTCCTACCTCGGATCAGCTCAGTCCCTCTCTGGTTGGGGAGTGGTTGGGGGGGCCGGGGGGGAGGGGGCAGTGTTGAAAGCTCCCTAGGTTCCCCAGCCCACAGCAGCTCATTCTCTCAAACTCCACATCCTCCAGGCCAGGAGGACAGGGCCTCTCCCTCTTTGGAGCCCAATGTCATGGAGCCGTTCCTTTTCCACCCTCTCTGTCCACACCTCTTCCCTTTCGGTCTCCACTGAGAAGGTGCCTGCCTCAGGCCTCCCTCCCCTTCCCCTTCTGACTCATGGGAGCCTCACTAATGTCCTTGTGATGACCTTGTCAATGACTTGGTCTTCTTGACCTCAACTCTTCTGTTCTGCTGCAGCCCTCCTGGTGCCAGTCCACTCCGGGACCTGGTTATTCTCCCACCTCCCCCACCTTGGAAACTCAACCCCAGCCTCCTCAGTTGTCATGACCCCTCAGGGCTTTTCATTCTGTCTTCTGTCCCTCAGATTCTCTTCCTGGTCTCTTTCCTACACCAACTGGAGGTTGTCATCTTAACAGTCTCTTATGTGCAGGACCTGTGGCCAAAGCCAGTCCTGGATTGCTGTGACCCCGACCTGTCCTTCCTGTCCTCATACCCAGGAGGGGCTTCCTGGCCATGGGGACAGATCCACAAAGATGACAGTATTACAAGTAGCTGATGGGTCAAGTGGCTCATTTCCAGACCAGCTTTGTTCAGTGGTTCTCTTCCTTCCTAACCAGCTTTCTCTCCACTTTTTTTCTGCATGCCTCTAAATATTTATCATTTTCCACTCCCTTCCTATTTTCTATCCTATTTTTTAGTAGCATTTTATTTTATTTTATTTTTTTATTTTTTTTAATGTTTGTTTATTTCTGAGAGAGGGAAAGACAGAGTGCAAGCTGGGCAGGGGCAGAGAGAGACACACACAGAATCCGAAGCAGGCTCCAGGCTCCGAGCTGTCTGCACAGAGCCCGACGCGGGGCTCGAACTCACGAACTGTGAGATCATGACCTGAGCCGAAGTTAGACACTCAACCAATTGCGCCACCGAGGTGCCCCTTTAAGAAGCCCTTTAAAGTTTATTTATTTTGAGAGAGAGCACATACGAGTGGGGGAGGGGTGGAGAGCGAGGGGCGGAGAGCGAGGGAGAGAGGGAATCCCAAGCAGGCTCCACGATGTCAGCCCTGAGCCCGACTCAGGGCTCGGCTCAAACCCACGAACCATGAGATCATGACCTGAGCCGAAATCAAGAGTAAGATGCTTAACTGACTGAGCCACCTGGGTGCCCCACTCACTCTTAACTTCGCCACATACTTAGAAGTCCAGGCCATCTGGCAGGATCTGGGTCTGCATCCCCTTCCCTTATTTTATATCTGTGCTCATCTCCTTTCTACCTGTTGGGGACTCCATCAGGTGGCCCTGGGAACCTGACTTATCCTTCTGTGTCTCTTTTTAATTTTATTTTATTTTAATCCCAGTGTAATTAACCTCCAGTATTAGGCTTGGGTGTGCCATACAATGCCATATGCTTACTCAGTGCTCATCAGGATAAATGTCCTCTTTACCCCCTTCACCTAGTTCACCCATCCCCCTCCACCTCCCCTCTGGTAACAGAGTTTGTTTGTCCTTTGTAGTAAGAGTCTGTTTCTTGGTTTGTCTATTTTTCCCTTTATTCACTTGTTTCTTAAATTCCACATATGAGTGAAATCATACGGTATGTCTTTCTCTAACTTACTTCGCTTCCCATTATGCTCTCCAGCTCCATCCATGTTGTTGCAAATGGCGAGATTTCATTATTGTTATGACTGCGTAATATTCCATTGTGTGTATATACCACATCTTCTTTATCCTTTCTTCTGTTGATGGACGCTTGGGCTTCCACAATTTGGCTATTGTAAGTAACGCTGCAATACACAAAGGGGCGCATATATCCTTTCTAATTAGTGTTTTCACATTCTTTGGGTAAATAACCCATAGGGTGATGACTGGATCGTAGGGTGGATCTATTTTGAATTTTTTGCGAAACCTCTGTACTGTTTTCCACAGTGGCTGCACTAGTTTGCATTCCCACCAACAGTATGCAAGGATTCCTTTTTTTCTCCACACCCTCGCCAACTCCTATTGTTTCATGTGTTTTTGATTTGAGCCATTCTGACAGGTGTGAGGGGATATCTTCTTGTGGTTTTGATTTGCATTTCCCTGATAATGAGTCCTGTTGAGCATCTTTTCATGTATCTTTTGGCCACTGGATGTCTTTGGGGAAGTGTCTATTCATGTCTTCTGTCCGTTTTAATTTAGATTATTTTTTGATGTTGAGTTGTGTAAGTTCTTTATATATTTTGGATACTCTAACCCTTTATGGATAGGTCTTCTCCCATTCTGTAGGTTGTCTTAGTTTTGTCGGTTATTTCCTTGGCTGTGCAGAAGCTTTTTATTTTGATGTAGTCCCAATAGGTTGTTCTTGCTTTCTCTCTCTTGCTCAGGAGACCATACCTAGAAATATGTTGCTATGGTCAATGTCAGAGACATTACTGTCTGTGCTCTTTTCTAGGATTTTTATGGTTTCAGGTCTCACATTCAGGTCCTTAATCCATTTTCAGTTAATTTTTGGGTATGGTGTAAGAAAGCGGTACTGTTGCATTTTTTTTTTTTTTTTGCATGTAACTGTCCAGTTTTCCCAGCACCATTTGTTGAAAAGACTTTTTCCCATTGCATTCTCTTGCCTCCTTTACCAAAGATTAATTGACCATATAATTGTAGCTTTCTATTCTGTTCCATTGATCTATGTTTATTTTTGCCCCAGGACCATATTGTCATGATCACTACAGCTTTGTAATAGAACTTGAAATCTGGAATAGTGCTACCTCCAGCTTTGTTTTTCTTTTTCAAGATGGCTTTGGTTATTCTGGGTCTTTTGTGGTTCCATACAGGTTTTGGGATTGTTCTAGTTCTCTGAAAAATGCTGTTGGTATTTTGATAGGGATTTCATGAAATCTGTAGATTGCTTTGGGCAGTATGGACGTTTTAACAATATTCTTCTAATCCATGAGTGTATAATGTCTTTCCATTTGTGTCTCCTTTAATTTCTTTCATCAATGCCTTGTAGTTTCAGGGTACAGGTCTTTCACCTCCTTGGGTAAGTTTATATACTTCTATCTTTTTTATTTATTTATTTTGAGAGAGGGAGAGAGAGAATCCCAAGCAGGTGCCGCGTCATCAGCGTGGAACCCGATGGGGGGCTCGAAGTCCTGAACATGAATGAGGTCATGACCTGAGCCGAAGTCCAACACTTAACCTGTAATGTTCAGAGCTTCTCTTTCCTCTCTGTCTTTAATTTCCCCACTACTGCTGCCTTTCTCTTGGCCAATAAATATGCTCTGTCTCTTCCATCCTTCTCTGCCCTTAAAGGCTTACTTGCAGAAGCTTTCATTCTAAAGAATACATCCAGAAGGTTGTAAGGTCCTTCGTGACTTCTGCCCCCAATCTCTATTCGCCATTCGCCAGAGCCCTCTACTGTCATCCATTCAGGGTCTGTGCTTCCAGATATGTTTATGCATTAACATAAGTATGTGTAAAAAAAAAAATCATATCAACTATAACCTATTTGCATAAAGCTATCACATTGTCACTTGCCAGTGTATTTTTTTTTTTAATTTTTTTTCAACGTTTATTTATTTTTTTGGGGACAGAGAGAGACAGAGCATGAACGGGGGAGGGGCAGAGAGAGAGGGAGACACAGAATCGGAAACAGGCTCCAGGCTCCGAGCCATCAGCCCAGAGCCTGACGCGGGGCTCGAACTCACGGACCGTGAGATTGTGACCTGGCTGAAGTCGGACGCTTAACCGACTGCGCCACCCAGGCGCCCCTGTCAGTGTATTTTGAATGAGCTTCTGCATATTGTTATAGAAGTCTCATTTGTTCTATGTAATTCCAGATGATGCTAAAAGCTGAGCCATTTTCCTGTTGAGTATCATTCATGGTGTTTCCGATTTATAAGGAAAAAGTGTTGTGATGAGTATCCTTATCTGTGTGTCCTTGTTCATGTTCCTGTTTGCTGTTTGTGTGTGTGTGTGTGTGTGTGTGTGTGTTTAAAAACATTTTTTCAAGATTTTTTTTAATTAAAAATTTTTTTAATGTTTATTCATTCTTGAGAGACAGAGTGTGAGTGGGGGAGGAGCAGAGAAAGAGAGGGAGACACAG